TGACATGGAATTGTATGTCTTCGATCATGATGATGATTTGGGCTTTGGGGCGCACCGACTACGTTAGTCATATGGCACCTCAATATAACTAAAAATGTAGCCGTCATTTACTAAACTCGAGTCGTTTCCCAACATAGCATAGAGCGTTTGGCGCACGGACCCTGATCCAAAATGGCGCATGCGCTCCGGTGTGAGGTGGGCACAATCTATCAGAACATGTCGTGCGGTGTAATGATCCCCGCAGCGAGGACATCGCGGTTGGTCTTCCCCACATAACAGGTATCGGTGAGTTGCGTATGTGTGTCCTATTCTCAGGCAGCATAACGTCGCCTTAGGCTCATTACTTGCCAGCAAATGCAAGAGCATCCTAAACTCGTGATATTCTATTCAGCAGTCGTACCCCACCCCACCCCCTTAGGGTTTTTTCGCCAGAGTTCATTCGCTTTTTTAAGAGCACGAGGCATGTTGGATATTGTGACTTATAATCCAACGACGCGGTTGTGACTCATTTCTGAGTCATATCATTACCCCCTACTCCTGGCGACAGAAGAGCAATTGATTCTCCGAAACGGTCTGCTGTTATTCAAGACACGCAAATGAGATGGTGGCGAGTAATATACCAGCTCGCCAAGGTGAGCTTATGCCTTTGGCGTGAGGAGCATTGAGCAAAGCAGTTCCATGGAAAGAGACGATGTTCATACGACTGAACATCCTCCCTTGCCGTGAAATGCTCCACGTCATCGGAGTAGCACTCAACGCCATACAACATCTATTTGCTTAAACAGCCAACAAATAACACAATGAGACGAAAGGACATGTTCCATGTAACAGAAAGCAGCAAGTCCCACCGCCCGTCCGCCCCCCGGCTCACCTTGCTGAAGGTACACTCCGGCTCGATAAGCCGCGAGGCCACGGTGGTGGTGACCTCGGCCAGTGGCGCCGCCTTACGTCCCAGCCGGGCGGCGCTGAAGCGGCTCGGCAGCAGGTTGGTGGCGTCGCGCAGCGGTGGCAGCGGCGGCGGCGGCCGCGGCCGGCGCACGCCCACCGGCGACACCAGCTGCTCCAGCGGGGAGCTGTCGGCCTCTTCCTCGTCCTCCAAGAAGCCGTAGCAGCGGTCGGCGCCGGCGGCCGGCGCGGCCGGCGGGCCGCACGGGGTGGAGGTGACGTGGCGCGGCAGCCGGTGACGCCGCGGCGTAACGGCAGCCGGCGCCGCCAACGGACCGGCGCTGCCGCCATTTGTCGGACGGGGCGCCGGGGGCGGCGCTGCCGGCGGCTTGGGCGAGGCGCAGGCCACCGTAAAATCACCGCCGGCCGTGGCAGCGGGCGGGGCGGTGGGCGGGGCCGTGGGCGCGCGCCCACCGAGCCGCCGCCGTTTGGTGGGCGACAGCGCGCCCGGCCGAGCCGGGGCCGGGGCTGCCTCGCGGCTGGCGGCGACAGCAGGGGTGGTCGCCTGGCGGGGTCGCGCCCGCGTTGTCGGCCGCTTGACGGGTGTGACGGGTGGCGGCGCGGCCGCCCGGCTGGTCCGTCTCGCCGGGCGGGCGGCCTCTTCCGCCGCCGGCCTGCTCTGGCGGGCGGCACGGCCCGGGCGGCGCTCGGATGCCGGCGCGGTGGCGACGGCAGCCGCAGTGGACCGCACTCGCGGCCGGGTCATGGCGCGGGGTGAGGGCGCTGCAGGTGGTGGGTCTTCACGTAGGCGGCTTGTCGGGCAGACACACTTGGGACATCACAATCTGGCAAGAGAGCGCTTGTTCGTTAAAGTGAGCTACGTCGGCGTTTTAGTGATCTACGAATTTTTATGCCAACGATCAAGTGATCCGTCTTAGGGGCATATCTGGTGGACCACCAATGGATGCTGCAGTGCCTTGTCAACAAATCAGGCTGAGAAATAAACTTTTACAACCACATCAATCAAATTTGTGATGATGATGATGATTTGGGGTTTTAGGGCGCATCAACTGCTGACGGTCATGCAGCGCCCAGTTCAATCAAATTTGTGTCATCATAAATGTGTTAGATTTCCATTTTGCTAACAATTACTTCATGAACAATGCAAAATACTCATTCCAGATCAGATTAAAAATGATGCACACCAGCATGGTGTTCCCACACAAAACCTTCTAAAGCACACTGTCTGTGACCCATGCAGATTTAAGCACAGCTTCTGGCCACATGCATTCAACCAGCTGCCAAGCACTGCTCTTGTGCACAGGATACTTTCTGTTATCAGGTTACCTGCCTCCTCAAATCAGTTTGATAAAGGTGGACCAGAAGGACAGAGGGACTGGAAGACCTGACTATGGACTGTCACTGATATTACAGATTTGTTTTCTGTGCAGTCAACTGCTGAGAGCAGATCTCACTCAGAACTTGAAAATACAATCAGTAATATAATCAATTATACACAACAATATACATTGACATCCAGGACTAAAAAATAGAAAATTATATAGCAGATCTTACCAAAAGTGAAAACAAACATCTTATATTACCTGAGCTTGCCAAGAGCACATGCACCACAGGGCCAATTGAAATGCAACAGGTCATGATCTGTTCCACACCATACCAACCCAATATCCATAAGATCCCATAGTTTCCCCACGTCATTCAGATAACATTATCAAACAGCACGAAGATTGATTGCAATGATGCATGGTACAATGTCGCAAAACACAAGTCAAATCTATCCTGGTTCAAACATTTAAGTTGGCTCTGCAAAATTGATTGTGGAACCCAGAGCTACTTAAACACCCAGGATAAAAATGAACACCTATGGTTAGGAATAAGAGAAGCACTGACCCATTAACTGCCACCAGGCAAAAGCTAAATAAAGCATGTCTACCACCAGTCCACTGGGCAAGTCTATTAAATTTTGGGCAGAAATTCTTAATGTGGGGCAGCTCATGCTACCCTGGTGCCATACCCTAAATCTGGAGAGAAAGAAAGAGAAAAGAGAAAGAGAGAAAGAGAAAGAGTATGTTTGGCAGCAGATTAGGTCAGCAGACACCCCTGTGGACAGGCAGCTTGCTGCCCCTTTTGAGGAAGAATTCAGGCATACCAAGTATCTCATCAGTGCATTGCAATGATTTGCAAACCAGTGGTGGGCAATCACCACACCAGTCATCCAAAAATAGATCCACTGTGCAAATTTCTACACAACACTGGCATGGTGGGCTGGACCCAATGAATGCACTGAATTTTACTGACGTAAAATCACAACTGCCTGAAACAGGCCATACAACCAATTAAACAAGTGGCAACTGTGTACTAATACTTAGAACACTGGGACTTACAGTGAGCATGAGCTGAAATTGTTGCCAGTTGGCTTTGACCTATCATAGAGCATGACCTATCACCTCCTGTCATCCACAATCATTTAGAACCTCACACTTTGCTGATTGTCACAACGCGCAGAATCAAGATAAACAATGCCATTCAGTTGCACTAAAAATTTTTTTTATGAATATCAGCTTTACCACGCTAAGGACTGGGACAAACTGAGACGCTTCAAGGCAATTCTGCAGAGCTCTCCCAACATTTGTGAAATTGAGCACAATCCAATGTCCGAATTCCTTCGCAGGACATGCCAAGACATAAAAGCATGTACTTGAACATACCACAAATAATATCCCACGCCAAGACAAGTATACTAGCGACTCACATGATAAGAAATACCGTATTTCCTCACCCAACCGCCACCCAATGTCGCAATGAAACCGTCGACAACACCAGGACACTTTCTAGGCAATCATGGCGCAGAATATACGCATTCGTCTAATCCCGATTTGAACAATCCGCCATGCTTGAAAGCAATGGAGGAAATATACTGCCGAATGTCTTAGCAAATATATTTCACCGCTATCACTGCAACCGTCTGGGATTTCATAAGCATGCCTTTGAGTGCCATCACACCTTGACTATTCGAAGAAATCATTCAATGCCATTCCGGGTTGTGTACGCTGTGTCTTGGATTTTGACACGGCTATTTGCCGAAAGTCAGGGGCCCTTGCCGCAGATCAGAGGCCTTTCCCCGCAGGCCAGAGGTCGTCTAGATCAGGTCAGGGGCCGTGCGCCGCAGGTCGGCGGTCCGCACGCCGCAGGTCAGGGCCGTCTTAATCAGGTCAGGGGCTGTATACCATAGGTCAGAGGCCGACTTCTCTGCTGGCAGCGTACCGGGATATGAAATCGAGCGTGTAGGTTAGCAATACCTTTAATTTACGTTCAGGCGTGTATGGATCCGATCCCAAGGTTTGACAAACACCAGATGCCGACGTTGCACCACATGTCAACATTGTTTTAAAGGATTAGTTATTACCAGATTCCTATTTGCATATACAGTAATGGACTAGCAGCCCCCACTGTTCCACCATTCTGAACACCACCACGTGGATCGCCTATTTTTTTTGAACTGATAGGTTAGAGAAGTGATCTTTGCAGACAATACATGTCAAAGATAAAATTTACGTACACTAGCATCCTTTATTTCAAATCTCGCAGCTAAGTTGTGCCATTGGTTGGCGTGGCGTACAGCGTCCAGCCCTCTCCTGTAGGGAATAGCCGGTCCGCCCCTATGACAACACATAGCTAATCATGGCATTATACATAAACGTTCATGCATTGCTCCCCTCTGTCAGCAACATGATCTGTTGTGATAGCAACAGCTGCGTTAAGGCATAATGGGCGAGTCATTTAGATGAATGTACGCCAGCCATCAGCGTTTAGCACGGTCGTATCCAAAGAGCTGCAAATTGATGTTCTTCGGCAACGCCTGCAAGGTCAATTGCTTAAGAATGTGGCAGATATAAATGGTACGGACCAAAGACGACCATAGACTAATATTAACACAGCTTGAAGGTTAAACAGACTGACGTGTAAACGCGGAGGCGAAAACCCAGGCCTCCAATTCACTAGCACGGTGATCCGTCTCCTACTGACGTGCATGCCAAGCGTGGTTCGATGCCGGCCGGCGAGGCAGCTCAGTGTAGAACGAGCGCTGGCCAAAGATGGCGACGCTGCGCACACTGCTGTACGCGTGCCTGGTGCTGCTCAGCGCCGTGCTGCTGGCTCGCCAGTGTTACGAGCTGGTGCTGCTGTACGCCTCCGAGCCGACAGCGTCCATCAGCAGCCGGACGCCAGCCGACCGGTGGCCGTTGCCGGACTTCACCGTGTGCCCGAGCACGCGGCTGCGCGGCGACGTGCTGCGCGCATGGGGCATGCTGGCCGACCACGGCCGCTGGGAGGACTGGTACAGCTTCCCGGCCAACGCCACCCTCGACCAGCTCTGGCAGGAGGCGGCTGTCGATCTCGATAAGCTCGTCCCTGAATGCTTCCACGGCTTCTGCACGCCGCCTGGGAGCCGCGGTGGCGCCACCGAGACTGGAAGCTGGACGAGCTCGGCGCAAAAGCGCGGCACCTGCTACACCTACCGCTCCAACCTCACTATGAATGATGGCGTCTTCATGACCTTATTGATCATTCACAACGCGCAGCATGTGCTGGCCGGCAGCGAACCATTTGTCGACCTGTTCTTGCACGGTGAGCAAGACCCGGTGGTGGAGGCGGAGGAGCGGTTCATTGTGGCGCACCCATCTATCCGGCTGCGCTCCGGCGAGCGGCTCGAGCTGCTCGTCCGCGGCCACATGGAGGAGGCGAGCAGTCTGCGGCGGCGGCCCTGCGTCGCCGACCGCGGCTACTCGCGCGCCCACTGTAGGCAGCGCTGTGTGCGCCGCCGCCAGGCCAAGCTGATCGGCTGCCGCGCACCCTGGATGCCAGGCCCGCAGGAGGAGACGTGCCGCTCGCTCCGCCAAGTGCTGGCCACAGTCGTGCCGCCCGAGGTAACATTCCCCTACGTGCGTCACACCTGTCACTGCCCGCTGGAGTGCCGCCGCGAGACCTGGACGACCGAAGAGCTTCGTCGGGACACCCTCGAAGCGGCGGTGCAAAACAACTGGTCTTACGTGACGCTGAAGTGGGCCGAGGTCGTGCATGTCACGACCGAGCAGCTGACGTACGGCTCCAGCTCACTTATCTCCGACATCGGCGGCACGGTCGGCATGCTCTTCGGCTTCTCCGTTCTCAGCCTGGTGCAGATGCTGGAGGCCTGGCTGAAGAAGCTGATGCGGAAGGGCACAGCTGGAAAACGGGCTACTGTCAAGCAGATGTCGGTGTGGAGCACCAGGAAGGCTGTTGCGCCAGAGGCGGAGTCAGAGGTGAAGGGAGCATGGTCAAAGGGTCCCGGCGTTAATGTGGAAGATGCATTCAATAAGTAGCAAGTTGAGAGCCGGCCAGCTAGCGTAGAGAAAAGTGCTTCAAGACGAAGATGTTTCTTCAAGCTGGGTGCATTTTAAGGAAATCCTTGCTGGACATCCTTTTTCCGCATCTAATAGGCGGAATTCAAACAGCAAACAACTTTTTTCTATCAGAAACTGGAGGAAAAGGAAAAGTACGAGGCACAGTTGACCTTTGTGTCCCAACAGCTGTTTGGCAAGGGACATTAATTGACATACATAAGACAGTAGTCATGGCCCCATTCCTCGGACAAAAACCAGGCGAACGGAGATAGAGATGGATTAATATTTCCACAACATGCCTTTATCGAAACGATTTACATAAGCGCTATTTACCAAAGGCTGCTATTCTTTTCGATAAAGGCATTTTGCCGAAATATCAACGCATCTACATTTCCATTGTCCTGGTTTTTCTCCGAGGAATTACTCTATTAGTGCTGTCTAACACCACGCAAACATCGTTTTAAAATTACACGACAATGTATCGACTATATGAATGATTAACTGAGAAGGCCGCTTGCCCACTCCCCGTGAATTTGCTGTGAGCAAATGATGGAAGCTGCTTCTTATTGTTGTGCTATCTTAACATGTGAATTAACTTTAAGTTTTCTTGGAAAGAATATTTAATGATCAGAAAAGTAGATATCTAACTTGAACAGCATATATGCACCGGACGTATCACCACCCCTGTGCTTTGTCTTCCACACTAACGCATTGGACTAAGACAGTGTCATATAGCATAACACAAGTACCACTGGGCTGTGCCTTTCTCTCTTCGGCTGTTTTTAATAAAAGATATTATGTTTTTTTATTTAAAGCTTTGTCATAGCCTGTTTGACCGTCGCAAGAAATCTGCACGTGTCTAAATCTAGTTAAACATGGCTACTGTCTGCTCGTGCCGCGATACGTACCGAGCTGGTAAATGGGAGTAACGTGCGCTTTATCACTGAACGCTGCCATTTCTCTCCAGGACGCTGTCTAAGGGGTGCCTTGCTCTCCAGCTCCCGTTCCATCCACTTCTGAAAATGTGCGTCTTTGAATGCAGCTGAGTGCAAATGTTTTACGTCGGTAACGACGGCACGCTCGGGGCGCACTCTAACAGGGACTGACCCTCTGTATAGTGTGAATGTATTTGCATCGGTATTATTTGAACCAAGGCGTACTTTGAGGGTCACTTATTTCAAAGATCATTGAGCGCCGACTATATTTGTTGCAAAAGTAATTATATAGCTTGTCATAGTAGCCGTTTCCATGAAGGCTTGCGACACGATTTTTTCATTGCTTGTTAAGAAGCCGTCAGCATCTCTTTCTTAACCAAATAATTTTTGAACTGTACTAGGTTAAAATTGCCTGGCCGGGATTTTAAAAAAGTTTGCAGAGACACATGTGCTGATAAGGTTACAGCTTGTTTGTTATAAGCATGATTACGCCACAGGGGCAGTTACAACACCAGATCTCTTCGTACCGATACTTTGTCTACGATACTACGAAACTTCGTACCGATACTCTGGTTAAAAAGATTTGTCGGTATGCCAGACGTAGACGCGTCAAAACGGACTCACATTCTCGCTGTGCTCCTGTTAACAGATATGCATTACCTACAGAGGTTACTTAACGGCACATGGTCCGTGATGAGTGATCATTGAACTAAATCGCCCTCAAAGTCCGCCTTGCTCCGCACGATGCCGACGTTAACATTAATGACGCGGCCTAGCATCTAGTGGCCTCGACCGACCTACACCGCAGTCCGACCAGCATCCAATGGCCTCGACCGATCCAAGACCGTAGCCGAGCCAGCATCCACTGCCCTCGATCGACCCACACCGCAGCCCGACCAACGTCCAATACCCTCGGCGGAGTCACACCGCAGCCCGACCAGCATCCAATACCCTCGGCCGAGCCACACCGCAGCCCGACCAGCATCCAATACCCTCGGCCGAGCCACACCGCAGCCCGACCAGCATCCAATACCCTCGGCGGAGTCACACCGCAGCCCGACCAGCGTCCAATACCCTCTGCGAAGTCACACCGCAGCCCGATCAGCATCCAATACCCTCGGCCGAGCCACACCGCAGCCCGACCAGCATCCAATACCCTCGGCGGAGTCACACCGCAGCCCGACCAGCATCCAATACCCTCGGCCGAGCCACACCGCAGCCCGACCAGCATCCAATACCCTCGACCGACCCACACCGCAGCCCGACCAGCATCCAATACCCTCGACCGACCCACACCGCAGCCCGAGGGAATTCTGTGAAAGATGGCGTGGATGGTGGCGCGGCGCGTGCGCGAACGGTGGACATGGTGCTCACCAATCACATTCACTGATATGGACGTTGTTTTGTGTCCGTTTGCGTGCCGATGTTTTAAATAACGCACGTTTCAAGGCAACATCCGCACCAGTGTGATTTAGGATGCCTCGCCGATATTACGGTCCTTGGCTTCTGGTCGATATATCCGGTCATGCAGTTTTCACGTTGCATGTACACTTTTTTCTGTTTTTGTTAATAACTTCAACTCGGTGTTAACTTCAGTACCACCTGTGGACAGTTTTTGATTAAAGTAAGCCAAAATCAAGTGAACTAAACTGAAGCGCAGTCGCGCAAAAGCCGCCAACAAGTATGGAGTTACCTGCGTTAACGCTTAGACGGAGCATCCTGCCTTTTGGACCTTTCACTAATTATTACATCAGATGCGTACGACTTGGTTAGTAATATAAGTTTTCTCAAAATCCTATTGAATAGCTAAGAATTTTGATTTGAAGTGCCGATACTGCGGGAGAAATCTCATGTTACTCCCCACTCACTACTTTGAAAGTAATACCTTTCCTTCGCCTCGGTTTTTACAACGTGTGTATTCTGTAATGTTTGCAACGCACTAATGTGTCAAAATGTTCGTGCAATAAATGCTACGAAGGCTTGAAACACTCTGTCTAGAAAAAACAAACATTCGAGGACTTGAAGCCATTGTTCCGCGAATAAGATAAACCCGAATCAAAGCCTGCGGCTTTGATTTCTTTCCTTTAGCATTTACTGCAGTGGCTCTTCCGATGTGCACTTTGGCTTTGAGAATGAGTGTCACATGACCCATTTGACCGCTGAATCATCCAAATTCAAGCGTCAACCAATCAGCTTTCCGGTAACAGGCCCTTGCACGCTGGGCCAATCACAGACGTTTTTTATTCGCATCAGTAAAGGTGCGCACGATCGTTGTAACGACGACGGACTGAAAAATGATTACAATTGATATTCTTATCATATCTGAGCAGTGCTGCAGTGGCACCACGTAGTGCGATTTTTAGACGAACTGGTCCTGAGATTTCATCAGAGTATATTTTGAAATATGCTTGAAATGTGCGACACTCCCTTGAAATGGAATGTTACACATTTAAAGACGCTGAAACAAGCATCGCATATGATGAAATTGGCTTATTTATAACTATTGCTTAACATTTAGGTGGAAAATACTGCTCTAGACAACACAATTTGTATATTCAGTAAATATGCTCCTCAACGCGTGCTGGTCTGATTACCCCGACGTACAATGAACAACATTGAGAACCGACTGACGTTCGATATATCTGGAAATTGTGCTCACAAACGCCAGATGTAAACGACTCAACAATTATATTTTTTCTCGGTCTTGATCGTCGCATGGTCAGTGAAATGGTAGGATTTGAATGGCGTTATTATAGCGTCATGGATAAATTAATTGCGCTGAAATAGTTTTCCCCGAAATAGCCCGCACATCTTCGCGGGCGTGTAGCCCAGAAAATAGAGTGGTTTAGTTCTTAAGAATGGCAGGGCTGTGAACTGCACCGAATGATCTCCAAGCTGGCTATTGCAGTTGAAGACCCCATACAAAAGTGAACACTTCCTCTAACCGTGTAGAGCACAGTGCAGAAGAGAAAAACACACCGATCCAGCTTTGAGTGATTTCTTGTGCACTGCCACACTTTGGACATTCGAGTCCGCTGGCTGCGTTTCCTGGCAAACAAATATTAAAAAGCACCATACCTGGTACAGTCGACATACCGCACCGCACTTTCGGTGTGGGCGTACGACATCTCTCGAGGCTCCCGATCAAGATGATCCGTACTGCTCGACCATAGTGATGGAGGGATGAGAAAATAGCAACCACTTGGGCAGCCATAACAACAAATCAATTTAACGGAGGGCATGGCCTGAGCGCTGAGTGTGGCGAGACTCTCCAGCCATCCGGGGAACGGTCAATATTGAACTTTGAACTTTGTGCTTTGAACTTTGGCTATTGCAGTTGAAGATCCCATACAAAAGTGAACACTTCCTCTAACCGTGTAGAGCACAGTGCAGAAGGTGCTTTGAACTTTTATACGATTGTCCCAGTATTATACGGCACACCATCGCTGCAAGCTGCAAGCTGAAAGCTGCAAAGGTTTTGTCTAGGGCGTTGATTTATAGGTCAAAAAAAAATGTTTTGAAGACTTCCTTCGGAGGTAAAATTTTAGCCTGATACAAGTTCTAGGCTGGCTTTCAAGGTGTTCAGAGTGGATGCTGGCGATGATGTCAGTGGCGCTGATGATGCCATTGAACCTGGCATGTGCGTGTGATATGGTGATAACATGCCTAAAATGTACCACCGAGGAGAGTTTTTGTAATCGAATAAGTTTTTTCACGCATTGACCAACGCTTCAGGCAAAACCTTTGCAACCAGCGTGCAAAGAAAACCTACTGACGCCGGCAAATGCCTATCCGGGGAGAAAATGCATTCCGACAGGCACAAAACCAGTGTTGTACGAAATTACATCCACCGTACCCTTGAAAATTGCTCGTAATGGCCGCTTGCATGCCAGGAGCTTAGACAAGTCAAGTAAATCCTAGTCAACAACAATTGCGGCCTGCCTGCTTTGGAAGACCACATCAGCCGGACCATGTCACAGTACCTACAACCGAAACCAAAAACAGGACATCAGATCACGTACTACCTATTCTTTAGAAACCTTA